GATTTTTTTTTTTTTTTTTTTTTTTTTTTTTTTTTTTTTTTTTTTTTTTTTTTTTTTTTTTTTTTTTTTTTGGTGTGGTTGTGATTTGAAAGAGAATATAAGAACAACATCCAGATGACACACTCACAATCACAGCAAAAAGAAAAAAAAGATGACAGTAAATCAGCAAATGGGCATTGAAATATTGAGATTCTTACTGATTACTGAACAAGTTTTTGATGCTTGTTGTGGCAATGTGGAGAGACATCAGAGAGGTATGAATGGCTCCTCTTTCTAATGTCAATGGCAGTGGTTTGAGCAGGAGGCTGTGAAGGGCGTGGAGAGATGATCACCGGCGGGATGTCGACTGTATCAACGAGCGGTGGCGGGTGCTGCCAGTGAGGCAGTGGCCCAGCGAGGAGGAGGTTTTGGAGAAGGGGGCCAGCTTCAATCACAGCCTGCAGAAGCTTGCCTTTTTGTGGCAGTGGCTTCTCACAGGCATTTTTACAAACAGTTGGTGGGCGTTCTTGTGCTAACAATGCCTCTCCCACAATTGGGTCAGTTTGAGAGGATTGAATTGTGTTATTATCATCAGAATCAGAACAAGCAAACATCTTACTAGAATCACTGTCACTTTGTGGAGTGATTTCATGTTCTTGATTTTTGTTCTGTTGAATCAACACCAAATTTTCAAACATTAACTTCTCACATTTCGTCTCGACTTCATCTTTCTCTTTAATGGCTCTGTTCAGAAGATCCTTCAAGTTCATAATTTCACATTCTCTTCTCAAAATCTCCTCCTTCGCTGACATGATTGTTGTTTCAAGCTCCAAATTTGTGTGCACAAGAGCATGCCTCAGTTCTTCCCTCCCCTGAAAAATTGGATCAATTCAGAGCAAAATCCAGAAATCCGAAACAGAATCATTTCAAAAATGCAAAATGCGAAGTGTTCGTGAATGAGATACTCACATCTTCGTGATGAGAGCAGAATTCCCAGTCAAAAGATGTGCATTGATCCTCCATTGATGGAAATTCAGTGACAAATTCAGAAGAAATTGAGATTGAGAGGAGATTTTGCTATTGATAGTGGAGAATTCTTGGCATTCCTCTGTTTTTTTGTTTCTTTCCACTTTTTGTGTGATGGGGTTTTCAGTCTCACTAATTAGGGTATTTATAGAATAAACTTATCCTATTTGTCATGCAAAAATCATAAAAAAATAAATAAAAAAAAAAGGCGGAAATACGGAAAAATATATCCTTTTAATCTACAAGAAATTTCTGCCTCTTTTTGAAAAAAATTAAACTCGTGAACTCATGAGTCGAGTTTTTATTTTTTTTTTGTTCGAGTCAACTCGAACTAAACTGAATTTCTTAATATTCTAACTAAAAAGTTAAAACTCGTGAAATTATAACCCTAACGTTGCGTTTGGGCACTCATGTTACTTCGTGTCCCACCGTTCTCTCTCATTCTCACTCTTAATGTTGATAATTGACACGTACAGCCACGCCAAGCAACCGGTAGTCGACAATTGACCCACACATTCTAACATTCGATGCCTTCCCTCTCTCGTCACTGAACATTGTCGTATATGCTTAGTCGAAACTCTACATTTGTCGATGTCTCAATCCATCCTAGTCCGAAAATAGAGAGTTGAGTTGGGGCATATTGTAAACCCTAATTGGTTCATTATGATAGCTAGCCTGGAAGACCAACTCGAAACTTTGGGTTGGTAAAAAAAAAAAAAAAAAAATCCTCCCTAATCCCAAACCCAAACCTATGTCGCCTATGCTTAGTCGAAACCCTAATATTCGTCAACATCCCAACTCATCCTAGCTCGAAAATAGAGGGTTGAGTCATAAACCCTAATTGGTTCATTAGGATAGTTAGCCTACCAGACCAACTNGAAATTTTGGGTTGAAAAAAAAAAAAAAAAAAAAAAAAAAAAAAAAAAAAAAAAAAAAAAAAAATCCTCCCTAATCCTGAACCTATGTCGTCTAAGCTTAGTTGAAACCCTAATATTCGTCGACGTCCCAACCCATCCTAACTCGAAAATAGAGGGTTGAGTCGTAAACCCTAATTAGTTCATCACGAGAGCTACCCTGTTAGACCAATCCAAAATTTTGGGTCGAGATACAAGTTTACCGGCCGAATTTGATTTATTTATTTATTTTCATTTTTAGACTTAAAATTTGTAAAATAATGATACCAAATGGATAATTCAAACTTTAATTTATGACAGATTACAATTCTTATAGTTATGAACACAAAAAAACATAAAGTAGCTCTCAAGCATGCTCACAAATATTATTTGACTTTTATTTAATTAGGACCCACAAAATATATATATATATATATATATATATATATATATACATCAGCATATACAAATATTCCATATATAGATTTGGTCCAATCATAACGCGCCACGTCAAATAAAGATAATTTTATTATTCTTTTTCCATTTTTTAATAAAAAAAATCAATAAATAAATAAATTCACAAGAAAGAAATATAAAAAAGGTCCAAAAAAATGCCAAAAATACTTTCATGATTAAGGAGTGGGACAAGATTTTGAATGTTTGGTTCATAGGCTACAAGAAAGGGGGAATGAATATGTGAAATATGTGGTTAAAGCAAAAGCGAACGGCTTAAGACGTGCTCGTGTTGTTCGCACGTGTGAAATATTCACCAATTCTTTCGAGATTTTTACTTTAAAATGGATCGTGAACCATTTCCCACTTAACTATACAAAAAACCATCCGTTCTTTTTTTATTATTTTTTGATTTTCGACTCGTTTTTTCAAACAAATTACTGGATTTTCTTTATTTAAATAAATTTTCTTTTTCTTTTTTCAAAATTTCAACATTTTTTCAATATGAAAGGAATGATTTTAAACTATTTGGGAAATATTCCAAAAAAATTATTAAAAAAAGAAAAGAAAAAAGAAAGAAAATTTCAAGAATTTCAAGATTCCCATTCACAAAACTAACTTTTAGAAGAACTCAATTGGATTATTCTATTAAAATGGCTCTAATTTTGAGTCCAAACGCAACTTCTTTTTGACCAAAAAATATAACAAATTAAAAAAAATAATAATAAAATAAATAAATAAACCCTAAATTTTTTATAGTCTAAAAGCACCGAATTTTTTTTTTTAAAAAAAATAATAATAAAAGAAATAATGAAATTTTGAGTCTTCTTATATTGGTCAGAGAAGGGAGGGAGACCAAGTTTTTTTTTTTTTTTTTTTTTTTTTTTTATTATTATTATTATTATTATTTTTTTTTTGGTACCAAAAAATGGGGCCTTTCAGATAATGGTGGGGTCTTTGAGATTATGATAAATTTTCCAGAGAGGAGAGAAAAATAAAGAAAAATTAAAAAAATTAAAAAAATAAAATAAAAAATAAGTGGTATCTATGGGCTTCTTTATAAAGGTAATTAATAATAATATTATTATATTTTAAGTTTTTTAGGTTTTTATATTTAGATTTTTTTAACTTTAAATTAATTTTTAAAATTTAACGAATCTATTAATAAATAAAGACCTCATGTGATGATACTTGATAAGGTGTGGTGTGTTCCATATGGAGTGTCTTGTGGTTCTTCGAGTGCAAGCTGCAGAGAGGAATGCCATTAACTAGGGCACTACTAGCCACTAACCACTCGCTCGTTGCCCGTTTGGGCTTCATATTTCAAGTTCGTTATCCTAATCGTCTCCTCTACTTCACAAGGAGTCTGATCCATTCTTCGATCTCCAGTTACTCAATGTAAATAGCTAACTTTTCGGGTGTCTCGCACTCCAAGTGGTATAGATAAACCAGAGTAGGCCATGGCCTATGTTTTTAAATATAATTTAATGTCTTTTTTTACGGTGGATATACATTGTTGACCAACCAATAAGAGGGAGTATTTTCTTTAAAGAAATATTCAACAAATTTTGGAGGTATTATGAATTACAGATAAAAAAAGGGTGGCAGTCAAGGGAATGCAAATCTAGCTCTTCAGTATGAATGTAACACGTGTCACTTTTTTAACACGTGTCCATGCTTGAGTATGACCCTATTTGTCATGAATGGGTATGAGATTCTGATTCTAAGTTATGAAATTATTATTATTATTATTTTAATTCAAAAGTATGGCCGTCACTAGATAAAAAGAAGCATAAAGTGAAAATAATATATCATCTAATATCGTGTCGAATACTGAATGAAAGAAGTATGTACTACTATAAATAAGTTCAAATTTTCTTCTTATTATCTACAACGTAATATCAAAACAAAACGGCTAAATATATATTTTAACATCTAAGTTTGAAAGAATAAGAAACTTTCCTCTTCTAAAAAACATGTTTTTTCTTCTAAATTTTTGTCGGTTACCGATGTGTGTTATGTCATGTAAATCAATCCCGGAATAGTGAGGGACAAAAAGACTGAACATTAGTAATAAAAATGTAAGTATGAGCTGGAATCATCTCTGAACAATAATCACATAAACTTTACCAGAAAATTTACCCTACTTTTGGTTCCATTTCCTCATACAATGAATTGTTTATGCATTGACTGTTCATCTTGAATACCTAAAACAAAGTATAGTCTCTGATAATGTATAATAATAGTAAAATGGGAAAGCCACCAACACACTTCAAGCAAATCATACAAATGATAAATGCAGCCAGAAACATTGATCTTTTAGAACCTGATTCCTTTTTTTGTTGATTCTTTTGACACTTGAGGATCAAACGCGGTTTGGATTTGAAGAAAAAGATGACACCTTTTCCTTTTGGGTTAGTGTCTTCTTATCTTCTTTAGCATGTGAGGGCAGGTGAACCTTTTTTGGGGTCCCACACTCCACATTCTCCTGGTTTTCAGAAGTGAAATCTAAGAGCAGCTTGATCAGTTTCGAGTTTGGGAATGATGGAGCCATTTGCAATTCAAACATATCGGGTATCAACCATGAATGTAGTTTAGCTAGTTAAGATGTATGTCATTGACCCAGATGTTATAGATTTGGATTCCCCGACTCCTATATAACTATGGCTGAGTTATCAACCGTGAATATAGTTTAGCCGATTAAGATGTATGTTATCGATCTAGATGTTATAGATTTGGATTCCTCGACTCCCATATGTTGATGAACTAGAACGAAGAAAAGAAAGGAAGGACAAGCATGAACATGGCAAGTTTGGTATTTAAATGGAAAATGTAGATGTGCAAATCCTGTACAAGTATGACAAAACAGTCACAAAGCCTTGGACTAATTCATGAATCAGATAGATAATGGCAAAGGAAACAGACAACATTGCTAACTCATGAAAGAATTAGAAGATTTTGAAGTATTAAACTAATTTGCCAAGGCAAAACAAGAGTGTTGTTTCACAGATAGAAAGCTTCCTAACGAGCCGATTGGTTGCAAGTCATAACTAATGGGTCATTTTAGTTTGAAAGGTGTTGTGAATGGTTGAATCCATGCAATGAGCTCTGGTTGCAAGTGTTTCTTAAGAGTACAAGCAAGCAAACTAGACGTTTAACAGTCGGTGCACAATCTAAAGCTATCAAAGGATACAGTTACAAAAGCAGTGATGCAACCTTGTCTATCATCGTAACTCTGTCCTCACCTCGACAACAGGAAGAGAAAAATTGGGTTAGGATTGATCATACCTGTCTGCGCATCTTGATATTACGTGGGATTTCCTTATATGACTGAACTTTTTCGACGGCTCGCCGTAACGGCCTACCGACAGATGACCTCCGACATTCTTGAACTTCAGATTTATCAGTAGAATTGCCATGATCTTTTCTTTCTACTGTTGACGTTGTAACAAGTTCACAGACAATGTCTTTGCATTGGGAAGCACTGGTAGAAGTGGAATTTTCTATCTCAGGTAAGTCTTGTGTGGCCATTGGTTCCTCGGGTTTGAATCTTGCAGACTGCCTTCTCGAACATGGCCTGCTAAGAAATTCAATGAAGCTCATCTTTAGTTGGTCTTTTGTATGCTATATAAGGTCGAATAAAGCAATGCACGAACAGACCTTTCGCCTTCAACCTTCTGAACCTCTGTTTGAAGGATTGAAGTCTCTTTACATTGAGAAGTATTGGTAGATTTGGAATTTTCAATGTCGAATAAGTCATTTGTACCAACAGGTTCCTCAGTTTTGAGTCTTTCAGACTGCCTTCTCGAACAAGGCCTATTAGAAATCAATGAAGCTCATGTTCTATTTGTCTTATGTATGCTATACCATTTTGAACACGCCCTGTAAACATAAGCCTAAACAAAGCGATTAAATATACATGAACATACCTCTTTCCTTCAGCCTTTTGAACCTCTACTGGAAGAATTGAAGTTTCTATACATTGAGAAGCACAAGTAGAATTTGAATTTTCTGTCTCCAAGATATCCTTTGCAGCCACTGATTCCTCGGTTTTGAATCTTGTAGATTGCCTTCTAAAGCAAGGCCTGTTCGAAATTCAATCAAGATCAAGTTCGATTTGTCTTTTGTACACTCAATAATCAGATAAACCCAAATAAAGCCATTAAATCTCCATGAACAAACCTCTTGCCTTCAGCCTTTTGAACCTCTGCTGGAAGAATTGAAGTCTCTATACATTGAGAAGCATCGGTAGAACTGGAATTTTTTGTCTCCAAGATATCCTTAGCAGCCACTGATTCCTCGGTTTTGAATTTTGCAGATTGCCTTCTAAAACAGGGTCTGTACGAAATTCAATCAACATCATGTTCGATTTGTCTTTTGTACGCTCAGTAATCAGAAAAACCCAAATAAAGCAATTAAACATCCATGAACAAACCTCTTGCCTTCAACCTTCTGAACCTCTGTTTGAAGAACAGAAGCGCCAAAAGCTGCATTCAGAGGAGAATCCCTTTTAAAAAAATGACAATATGAATATCCTGAAGCCGATGGTAAATTCATGCACTGACACTTACATTCTCTTCTGGATTTTCGTCGCCTGTTAGTCTTGCAAGGCTTATTATCCTTATCTGCATTCATAGATTCCTCTGCCTCACTACATTTGGTAGTCCCTACCTTGAGGTAGAGATAAGAAATGCGTAAGCAGCTAAAGAAAAGTTGACAAAAGAAAACAATAGTATTGTTTAGATGTACCTCTCCAGTTTGGAGTGTTGCTAATTTTCCTTTTCTCTGGGGAGAAAAGTTTCAATCTCAGTGATCAATAAACACTTAATTTAAAACATGAAAGGACTAATATAAGATTAAACTAACCTCCAAATCCAGATTTCTAGCCATAAGAACACCATTTTTACATCCAAGTTCATGCTGAAACGCTTTCAGCTGCAGAAGATTAAACTAGTTTCATTATATGCTGCAACTTAATGGGCAAATGCAAGCTAAATAAAATTTTAGATAGCAGAATTTGACTTACCCTGTCTTTGCTCGAATTAAGTTCCTAAAATTAGAAAAAAAAAAAAAAAACGTCACATAATGAAGAAGATTATCATAATTCATTTTCTAGGCGACTAGGTAGCCATGAACAATTGATAAAAATGGAAACTTAAGACAGAAAGAAGCAGATTACCGCTAACATTTGACTGTTTGCTTGGGCAAGTTGCAGATTTTGTTGCTGCAATTTCTGAAAATTGATTCTCAATTTCTCTAACTCATTTCCACTTATCTCAATTATGCGACTATTTGAAGAATACTAATGAAGGAAAAACTTCATCAATTGAAATGAAGAAAAAAAAAAAAAAAAAAAAAAGACTGAAATGAAGAACAGTGGATCAATGCAACTATCACAGAGGATACTTTCTTTCTGCCAGAACTCGCATGAGTGCCATATTTTCCTGGAAAAACAATCCAAAATCAATGTCAATAAGGTTAGCCAATTCACCAACATGCTAGCTAATAAACCACCATCAAGAGTACCTTCTGTAATTTATCAACATATTCATTGTTCATAAGCAAACTCGGCTGCTGCTTCATATCTCGCTTCTGCACTATTGGTTGCTCCTTCAAGTTACTTATATCCGAAAGCTGTTTTCTCTGCCCATCTCCTACTTTGCAGCTCTTCATAATTTTCTCTCCCGTTAATTTCATGTTTTGACCTAAAACCAACTTTTCCCGGTTACTAAAACTAGTGAAAAACTCACTTCAATTTGCGAAGATCGATTTTGAGGTAGTTCACCTAAATTGAATTATTCTCCCTAAAATTTACAAAAACGTAATGGCATACACCCAAAACCTAGAGTCCTTTGAAAATCATATAAACCCCGACATTCAATTAGGGTTCGAATTAAGCAACCTCAGTTCCTAGAACCCGAATGATTAATGGAAAATCCAACAGGAAGAAAACCAATCAAACGGAAACAAAAAGGAATCTGAAGAATTTGAGAAAAATTTTACAGGGAAAAGATCAAGAAATAAAAAACAAAAAGTACCTCCAACATCGTAGTTCTCTGAATCGTGGGAAATTATACCCTCCATGCTCGAGAAACTACGGTCGAACCCTAAAATCTTTCTGCTTAAACAACAGATCTTGCAAAGAAGGACAGAGTTCCTTCTGCTGAGAGAGAGGACTGAAGAGAGATGAATTCTAAGGATTGAGCGCGAAATGGATAAAAGTTTGAGGCTACAATTGTAAAATTCAAATCGAGAGCACAACGGCAGTCCGAAGTAAGTTCCGAACCTAATTTAAATCTTCGTACGTGTACCGAACCAGCATTTCTGATGGGCCAATGGGCTATCTAATTGGGCCATTCTGGACCTATCATTATCNCGAAACACAAATAGGGTTGAGAAAACTGACCATGGTCGATTCAAATTTCATGTTTTTTTGTTCAGAAAAACTTGTGGTCTATAGAGACCAAGAATTTTGTGAACGTTGAAATATATATATATATATATATATATATATATATATATATATATATATACAAATGTATTAAGAAATAAGAAATGAATAAAAATTTTAAAATATATTTTGGAGCACTCGTAATAAAAATGAATTAAATTAGAGATATCTACAGGGCAGGGTTCCCAACACTTATTTCAATCTTCGTTCTCTATCTCGTTTATCTAATGGAAATAAATTTCTTCTCACTTTCTTCCTCTCGTTCTTCAATAAATGAAGATTTTTCTATCGCATTATGTAAAACTGATCCCGTGGATTAAATTAACATAATATATTGCTATAATTTAAATTAATTTCATATTATCGGGATCATAATAAATGGTGGGAATGTCACTTTCCAAGCTTATTTATTTATTTATCTTAATCTCATCTTTATTACCAACATCTATAATTTGAACAAGGTAAATTTTCATCAATAATTTATTTATTTTAAAATTTTGCATTTATAATCATTCTCTACCAACATCCTTAAATAAGACTTAAACTACCCCAATTTTTTTAATTATTTGACTTTTGTCTACCTAATTGTTCCTAAATCATTGCTAACAAGAAAAATAAAATATCATTTTAATTTAATTAGAGGTTAAATAATAATAATAATAATAATAAATTAAATAAAAATAAAAATAAGTAGTGAGCTATCTATCCAATCCTCCAACCTCCAACCATTAATTATAAGCTGATTTAAGTCAAAATTGGCTTTGTTAAAGAAAATAGACATACAGGATAGCATGTGGGAGGTTGGGGTGGGCCCATATATATATATATATATATATATATATTATTTATTAATTTATTCAGGCTATTTTTTGTAATTTAAAATGTAATTAAATGAAGATTCAGCTCTCTTTATAGTTTTTTAAAAAGCAAAAGAAATGTAAATAGGAAAAGAAAAGGAAATTAAAATACCATTCAACCTCCAAAAATTATTTTCAAATAAAGCAATTTTTTTTTTTTTTTTTTGCAATAAATAATAATAATTGACCATTTGGTCGTATTTTAAGATAAATTTTTTTAAAAAAAAATCACTAAAATAGTTTTCAAATTAACATTTTCTATCTCTCTCAAAAATCCTTTTTTTAAAAAAAAATCTAAAATTAAATACCATCACATTCTCCATTAAACACAGTTTATTGAAAATTGCAGGAAAAATTGTCCTTTTTTTTGCCTAATAAAGCATGATTACGTATGCAATTAAGAATTTCAAGAACACTAAACCAATATTTTAAGAAACTAATCAAGATCCAAATAATAATAATAAATAACCAAAAATAAATAAATAAAGAAAGGAAAGAGAAGATGAAGAATAAAAATAAAGAATAACATGAAAGCAGAGGAACATTAAACAGTCTGTCTCTCTCACCGGAGCAGAGAATTTTTAATGCACAGACAGAAACAGAACCAGAAGAAAGAAAAAGAAAGAACAAAGGAAGAATGGGTTCAACGATTGGAGAAGAAAGCCCACGTTCCCTCCTTGTCTCTCTGGATTATACCCTTTTAGAATAATATTCATCTTTTCAAATAAAGAGAATCTAAAGTGTTCTTTCGGAGTTGTTTTCTTAGCAGATTCATGTATAGTTTAGTTATTAAGCAGTGTTCTTGTTCTTGTTCATGTTCATTTCAAGAAGAAGGTACCTGAAATAGAGTTCTTCTTGTTCTTGTTCTTGTTCTTCATTTCAACAAAATCTACAAGCAGACATGTTGGCTGCCATTGCCATTCTGTTGTTCAGCTGGTTTTTGAACTCCTCTCTGCCTTCTATGGCAGCTTTCAGTTTCAATCTCACTGACCCACATCTTCTTCCAGATCCTGAAACTGTTGCTTATGAAGTTCAGAGGTAAACAAACAAGTTTCCACTGATTCAGGCTTTGTCCAGAACATGCCTCTAATGGGGTTCTGCAGTTGTTCTTGTTTAGGCATTTTAACAAACACCTTGTGTGCATTGTTGTTCTGCTCAAAGGTGTAGTCCCCTGTTTCAACGGCTTCCCACTAACTTATGGATATCTATGTTTCTTGCAGGAGTGTGAATGATTCATTTTCAAGAAGGGAAATGCTGTCGATTCACTCTAAAGGTCAATCAAATTCCTGTCAAACCGGAAACCCTATCGATGATTGTTGGCGCTGCGGTTCAAACTGGCAAGCCAATCGCCAACGGCTTGCAGATTGCAGCATTGGATTTGGCCGAAACGCCATGGGAGGTAAAGGAGGTCAGATCTACATAGTTACAGATTCCTCCGATACTGACCCTGTAAACCCTCGCCCTGGAACTCTCCGCTACGCTGTGGTTCAAGATGAACCTCTCTGGATCGTCTTCGCTGCAGATATGACAATCAAACTCAAGTACGAACTCATGATGAACAGTTACAAAACCCTAGATGGCCGCGGCGCTAATGTCCACATAACCGGCGGCGGTTGCATCACACTTCAGTACATCTCGAATGTAATCATCCACAACATCAACATTCATCACTGTATCCCTACCGGTCACACTAACGTCCGATCAAGCCCTACGCACGTCGGATACAGAGGAAAGTCCGATGGCGATGGAATCTCAATCTTCAGCTCGCGCAACATCTGGATCGATCATTGCTCCTTATCGTACTGTACCGACGGCTTAATCGACGCCATAATGGGATCGACCGGAATCACGATCTCGAACAACTACTTCTCCCACCACGACGAGGTGATGCTGCTGGGGCATGAGGACGGCTATACGCCGGACTCGGGGATGCAGGTGACGATTGCGTTTAATTTGTTCGGCGAGAAGCTGGTTCAGCGGATGCCGCGGTGCCGGCGGGGTTATATACACGTGGTCAACAACGAGTTCCGGTCGTGGGAGATGTACGCCATCGGCGGTAGCGGTGGTCCGACGATCAATAGCCAAGGGAATCGGTATATTGCACCGGGGAATCCCAATGCGAAGGAGGTATGTTAACGTTATTACTCTTTCCTCTCTCCACTCGTTGTACAGTCCACGGCGCGTATTTTGAACGCGCCGCTGAGGGAAATTATTTATAGGGAAGTTTTCAGGGCTTAAGGTAAACATATCACTAATTCCATTTGGTTTTTAATTTTTTTTTCTAACTTTTTCAAAATTTTAATTTTAGCAATTTCTGATAAAGTAGGGGCAAAACTGAAAATTTTAAAATATACAAGGACCAAATGTAAAATATGTAAAGTCAATGATTTGACGAGACAGTCCTCAGCCACTGGCTTCTGTTTTGGACACAGCAGTTGTGTATAGTCAAAGAAGTGAAACGGTGTCGTTCTAATGCAGGTGACGAAGCGCGTGGACACAAACGCGGGGGATTGGTCGGAATGGAACTGGAGGACGGAGGGGGACATTATGGTAAATGGCGCATTTTTTGTGCCGTCCGGCGAAGGACTGAGCAATATGTACGTTAAAGCTTCGAGTGTGGCGCCCAAATCCGCCGCTCTTGTTGACCAGCTCACTCTTAACGCCGGCGTCTTCGGCGGGACCAGGTACTTTTTCTTTCTAAATGACCATATTGCCCTTCATCTTTTCTTTTTTTCTTTTTGGTTAAAATTCATATTTGGTTGATATGATTGGATTGATTATGAATTTTCTCTATAGTTGAAAATTTCAATTGGGTCTTGGTAGTTTAGAGTTTCAATATGAAAGGACCAAAATACCCTTGTTTTTTTTCCCTCGAGATTAATTTGTGCTCGAAAAGTAGCTCAGATCTATCTCGAGGATAAATATGTTCGAGATTCTAGAGATCGGAGAGTAAATGTTAAAAATGTGGTCCTTATAATTTCACAATGTAGAATTTTATAATTGGATATAACGTCATAAATAACTTTTCTAGACTTTTATAAAGAAAAAAAGACAAATAATTTTAACTAAAATACAAATTCATGGATAAATTGAATGGGTAAATGAGATATAGTATGTGGGACTTTGGAGTGAGAATCTAGGGCTGACACAACAGTCGAAAAACACAGCTCACTTGTTTTCTTGTTCTTGTCTTTTGTCTGTCCTGTTCTACCTTGGGTAAGCAAGCAATACCTTTTGCTTTCCCAATCCACTACACACCAAATCTCCTTCAAATAGGATTAAGAGAGATTGGATTAAATTTTGTGGTTAAAATAATTGTAATCAATATGCTACATTACAATATAAACAAGTGTTTAGTAAATTTAAATACTTAGAGCGATCTCGATATATGATCATTTATTAATTAATCGAGATACTTACAAAGTTCAACTCTATTCGGTAATATGAGCTCGATTAGAAGGGTAAAGTTGTCCCCTGTGGATTAGAAAAGAAAAAGTTACATCCATACCATAATCTGGGGTTTGCCCATTTCTCTTTAAGAGTTGGCCAATTAGGCTTTTATTCTATCTAACTCAAACTTAACCAAATCATAGAGCTAGGAATTGAGTGATTATTTGATGTTCATCTTGATGGATACTCAAGCACTGTTCCATTTTCAATGATGTAGGGAGAGTAGACAGAGCAGCTCGTACTCTGGAGACGAGAGCTTTTCCAATTCCGGGTCCAGTGGCAGCGACGGCGGTGGTGACTACTTCGGGATGATATTCGGCGGGGGCGGTGTGAACAGTGCACTGCCACCATCTCTTTCAGTTGTTAACATGGTCGTTCTAACCCTGCTTACTATTTTAGTTCTGTACACAAACTCCATTTATAATGCTTTATTATCATTGACAGCATTGTAGTACTTGGAAAAGTTCAGAAAATGTTATATAAACTACAAAAGGAAAAGAAAAAAAAGATGCCTCTTTCTATATCCTACATGTATGTGTTTAATATAATTAAAATAAGGCATGGTATGGCAAAGAAGCAAAAAGGAGGTGAATTTTAAACGTACCAGTAAAACATCAACGTTGTCGAAACATGGGTTGTCTGTCTGTCGGTGGAAATATTTGACAAAATGGAATCTTTGGAACCACAGCACGTGGAAATGAGGATGATATCTCCCTCCCATAACGAGTGAAAGATCCGCTGCCATGCTGCTGTACCATTGTTCTGTTTCAAAAACTTAAAAGTTAGCATATTCAAGCTCGAAAATAGGGAAGAAACACACCAACTTGAATATAACTCATTCAAACTCGAAAACAAGGAAGAAGCACACCAACTTGAATACAACTCATCTATTAGTATACGTATCTTAAATTTAAAGATTAAAGCCAACTTGAATATAACTCATCAATTAGTATACGTATCTTAAATTTAAAGATTAAAGGTTCGAATACCTTTGATATCTTTCGCTCATTCATACAATACCTGAAGGATCACCAGATGATTGTCGACAGAGGTACCATCTCTAATATCTTTGATAGATCTCTATCTTTCACTCATCCATACAATATCGAGTGGATCATCGACAGAGGTATCATTTTTCAAATAGGAAATCCCCAATACAATACCTGAAAGATCATCGACAGAGGTCATTTTTCAAACAGGAAATCCCAAATTTTATCAACACAGGTATCAACTTTCAAATAGGAAATAACCCATTCTCCATGACTTATCTGATTTTACAACTGTCAGCTCAAGAAATAAGACAATGAATTTGGCTGCAAAGTAGAATGATAAAGTGCACTATGCATATGGCCCCATGAGAAAAACTTTTGGAACCTACAATTTCGCTAGTTAATCAAACATGCTCAAAGATATGAAGAGCTACACAGCATGATAGTTTTTGATAGTTTTTGATAGTTTTCTATTAACACATCCAGGGCATGCATCGGCTCTAATCTTCAAAAAGTTAGAAAGTTATTAACAAGGAGTGCGATTTTCATCGTTTCCCTTACAAGAAACAGTCTTAACAGTAAACTCCTGCTTTGTCCACAGAACATTAAGTGAGATATTACCATCAATCACCGACCCCAACCAGACAACGATTTCCCATCATCTGCATAACTCGATTTTCCCCAACCTGCAGCGTCGTTACTGGATGTAGGCTTGTCCCAACCCCCTCCTCCTCCTTGGGCACCTGCATTGGCTTCTTTGTTCCAGTTGCCCTTCTGGCTACTGTCAGCTTCCTTGTCCGTGGTCCAGGTCGATGGCTTCCAGACAGAACTTTGACCCTCACCAGAAGCCTCAGAAGATTTCCAATATTTGGCCTGATTTTCACTTTGATCATTCCAACCTCCATCGCTAGCAACTGCATTCACATCCTTCATCGATGATTGATTATCAGTTCCTTCATTCCAACCAGATGCTGACTTCTGCCAGCCTCCGCCTTGAGTATGAGTATCCGCCTTTGCAGCTTTGCCCCAGCTATTCTTCTGATCACCACTCTCTTCAATCTCCTTGCAAGCAGTTGATTTATTCCAGCCGGAATTATCATTCACACCAGAAGAACCAGATGCTTTCCAATTAATGTTCTCATTCCCACTTGGTGCCTTCCAACCTGATCCCTCGCCAGCATCATTGCTCGACTTCCAACTCTGCTGCTGGTTCTTGTCATCGCCTCCTCCGATCCAGGACCCTGCAGTGCCATCGCCACTGCCCCACTCTCCATTGTTACCTGAACCTGTGCTCCAGCTTGCAGGTTTATCCACATTGTCATCATCATTTGAACCACCATCTTGATTCCTTCTTCCACGGCCTCGGCCTCCAAATCCGCCTCTATCTGATCCAGACTTCCCCCAGCTTCCACCACCACCTCCACTCCATCCTCCATAGTCACTATTATTTGAACCACCTTCTTGGCTCCATTTTCCAGAGCCTCCGCCTCCAAATCCCCCTCTGTCTGATCCAGACTTCCCCCAGTTACCACCACTACTCCAACCTCCTCCATTGTCGCAATCATTTGTATCACCTTCTCGATTCCATCTTCCACGGCCTCGGCCTCCAAATCCACCTCTGTCAGATTGAGACTTCTCCCAGCTGCCACCACCCCGCCCTCCACTGTCACCACCATCATTTGAACCACTTTCTTGATTCCATCTTCCACGGCCTCTGCCTCCATATCCGCCTCTACCACCACTCCACCCTCCTCCATTGTCACCATCACGTGAACCGCCTTCCTGGTTCCATCTTCCACGACCTCGGCCTCTAAAACCACCTCTGTCTGATCCAGATCTCTCCCTGTCACCACCACCACTACTCCACCCTCTATTCTCACCATCATTTGAACCACTTTCTCTGTTCCATCTTCCACGGCCTCTGACACCAAATCCACCTCGATCTGAACTAGATTTCTCCCAGTCACCACCACCACTACTCCACCCTTTATTGTCCCCATCATTTGAACCACCTTCACTGTTCCATCTCCCACGGCCTCTGCCTCCAAATCCTCCTCTGTCTGATCCACCTCTACCAAATCCACCTCTATCAGATCTGCCTCTACCACCAAACCGACCCCTTTCACCCCTTCCTCTGAAAGAACCTATACCTCTAAAGCCTCCTCTATCACTACTTTCTCCTCTCCAATCATTGGAAACTTCAGTCTGAGCTTCAGCACCATTGTTGGAATGATAAGCATTAAATTCATTTCCTGAGTTCCAGTTACTTTTCTCGCCCCAGTTCAAATTGCCACTACCAGAACTCCAGTTGCTTTTCTTAGCCGAACTAGAATCCTCATTTCCAGTATCAGATTTTTTTTTCCAATTAGAACCCCAGCTACTCCCTTGGTCGCTTGAGCCGGCTTCCTTGCTGGTCTGACCCCACCCAGATGCAGAATCTCCAGAAGTTTTTCCAACATTCCAACCACTGCCTTGATTCTCCAGCTCGTTATCTTTTCCACTTTCAACAGATTTCTTATTCCATGGTGAATTGTCCTCAGAAGCTTTCGTCTCATTAGAACTGTGCTGCTTATTCCAACCTCCCCCCCACTGATCTCCTTTGGAAGCTGTCAATCTTGAGGAATGAGATTTATCTTTCCAAATAGCTGAATCCCCATCAGATGACTTGGAATTCCAACTTCTATTTCCACCCTCACGTTCTGATTCATTAGATTTTTTCCAACTGTCATTTCCATCTCCACAAGCGGTAGTTTTATTCCAAGCAGAACTGCCACCATCACCCACATTCATTGGCTTACCCCAACCACCTGCCTCGTCCTGGTTGCCCCAGTTTGATGTTTGACCTCCCTTCATTGAAGTGTCTTCATTCCAACCACTTGGATTGATCTTATTTTCTGCTCCTGGTTTGGTCCAGCCACCTACATTGTCTTTGCCAGCTGTCTGAATCTCAGAGACAGTGGTTGAAACATTCTGGTGACCCCAGCTTCCATTTGATCTATTTTTGCTGCCCCACTTATCAGCTGAGGTTTCTGATGGAGTATTGTTATCACCAACACTAACACTTGGATTCTTTTTCCACCCCCCAGATTCTGAATCTTTATCTCTGCTCCATTCACTGAGTTCATTCTTTCCAGAGGTTCCACCGCCCCACTTTCCAGTCTGATTATCAGAAGTTACATGCTTCCCTTTGTCCCACTTGTCGCCAGCAGAATCTCCACTAGGTACTATTGATTTGCCCCAGGCACCAGAAACGTTACCATCTGAAATAGTTTTAGCAGTAGCTTTGTCCCATGACTCGCTCTTACCCCATCCACAGGCTTGATCATCATTAGCAGTATCAACACTCGAATTTGCAGTACCCCAGGAAGTGTTTGCTTCTGCAGTCGACTTGCTAACCCAAGGAGAGTCTTCAACATCTATAGTTATCATGGAAAACAACATAAACCAGCTTCTTAGAAATTAATGAAGTATAAATTACTAAAGAAAAACGCCCAATTCGTAGTACCTTTTTTAGCATCAAGATTTTCTGAACCAAAAGGATTCGTGGAACTGGACCCAGGACAATTCTGCAACCAGAAAGAGAGAGAATATGCATGGAAAATTTTCTTGGAGCATTAACATTTAACAGCACAAAGAAGAAGCAGAAAGTGATCGAAGAGCAAAACTAACCAAGGTACCAGACTCGGGGAAACTGGGCCATGGACTTCTGCAGAGAAGTATATTTACAAAAACTAATTTGTGAATGGACATAGAGAAACAGTAGCGAAATTCATAATTACAAAAGTCTCAATATGCAGATATTGCCTCTTAGATCAGATAAAACTAAAAAAGTCTTTTCAATAAAACTAATAAAGGAAATTTAATATACATACAAACAAACGTATGTTTGACCATGCGTTGCACATCTTGAAGCATACAGTCAGAATATAGTCGTGACAATTTCTCAGACTATAACATTATAAATATCTCATGTTCATATCTATCAATTAGTTTCAATAACCATCCCCTGACCAAAAAAAACACATACAACCACCATCATTGCACTAGTAGCTTTCAGGTGATTTACCCAGATTGAAACAAGGAACTTCTTTCTAAAGAAAAAAGGAATAAAGACAAAAGATAGGAGATTAATAATGAACACTATATTCATCGACATAAAGATCTCGTGATAATAAGAAATTCTAAAGTGGAGTTGATGGGACACATCCTCTTACAGAGATTACTAATGAAAGCTCTACAAAATCTTTTAAAGCCAAAAAAAAAAAAGTGAGAGAAACCTCCCGACAAGTTTGAATGCATTTCAACAACAAATGTACTCTTGCAGACCATCAAGTAACTATCATGGTCTAAGTTAGCCTGTTTATGAGTACATATAATTTAAAGTAGATAAAGAAAAGCATAAAAAAAAAACTTTCTACGGACAACAGTAATACATTGAGCACAAGGCCAATAATCACATTCTACATAGTTCAGACTTGATTATGTAAGACACTCAGTATAGCTTATCCATAATTGCTTTTTTCATTTTCTTTTCTTCTTAAATTTAAATCAAGGATTGAGAAAAGGAAGTTCAATGTCCAAGTACATTGGTATCCAGAAACATACCTTTCTGAAGAAGCCCCGGCAGAATTCCAGCCATCACCAGCTGCAGATGACCCCGTACCACCCATCCAATCTTACAAAGAACAAGCATGTCAAACTAGTAATCGTGAAAGTTATGTTTCTGAACAAGTGTGTCAAACTAGTAATACTAAAAAAAATGTTCGCGGAGGAAATAAATATGTACTTTGGTAAAATAAAATTGATTGTGTGAATAGGCAATAAATCTGCACTTACTATTTTAAAAAATACATTTAAAAGAGATTAATATAACCTCTCAAACATTCTAGGAATTCACTCACGCAAGAAATTAAGATGCAAAATTTCAAATACGAATTCAAACCTTGGGAGCTGCCTT